TACAAAAATAATAGAATTAAAAATAAAAAGTTTAGACAAAGTTGGAGTTGCAATTGGATCGGATATATTTATATTGTAGGTAAATATTTTAGAATGTTTTTTTTTCGGTATACATAATTCACATTTTTAATTTGTGATAGCTCACTGTGATAGCTCACTACATATAGGTACGGCGGTAAACGTGAACGCGTTGGTGTGTGCCAGAATGATCGCTCATGTTATCGCTGCCCTGATCGTGATCGTGATCGCGGCCGTGATCGCACCAGTGTGCGTGTAGCTGTGTAGCTTATTCGAAAATATGGAGGCTAAAAATAGCCCGAATCGAAAATAACTACAATTTGGCAGCATTGAAGATGTGCGTTTGCGTAAAATCGATGGTCAAATGCAGCAAATATGGGCTTCAAGGTCAGCCACTGGATCCACACCTTTACCTTTTCATGTAAATGAACGGGAAAATACGTAATTTTTGAAGAAAAACTACACGTAGTTAACCAGGTAAAACTAAACTTAAGGAATAATATATAAAATTGAATATATAAAATTGTAATATTAATAACATTTATTTATAATAAAATTATATAAGGATTCTTGCCACTTAACTGCTAATATAGAAATTTAATTCTACGCTGTGTTTGTCATAATACGGATCAACCTGCTCTCACTACCGGTTTCGGAGCCCTACTCCATCATCAGGTGAGCTTGGGAGATCCACAAAATGACAACCACAGCGCAGAGAGCCTTACCTTATATAATTTTATTATATACCTCTACTGCAAGAAATTTGTTTTCTATTTTATTTATATATTTACATTAGAATTAAAAATTATCATTTACGAATTTTTTCTTAATGGTTTTAAACTTATTAGAATTATTTTATTTCTTTCAAGTTATTTAATTTCTAGTTATTTACAGGCAACAATAGTTCTGATTATATCTATTGATGTATTGAAGTACTACCATGACGAGTCTTATAGAACAATACACGTCAATGGGAGATAGAGGTAACATTTTGCCTATAATGTTACTAATATAATATACTTTGATTATAATGTTTGTATCATAATTTCTTAAAAATATCAAGTTAGTGGATTAATAGCAATTTTAGACATATATTTTATCGAAGAGTGTGGTGATAAGATTAAAATAAGCTTTATGTTTTATCTTTTTATAAGGGAGATGGTTTGTGTCGTAGAATTACAGTATTTAATATCGTGTAGTTTGATATTCTTTTCTTAATTTACTGTAATTTTTTGTTTCCTATAATGCCAAATGTTGTCAATATGGTGAAGGTGTGGTTTTTATCTTATTAGTTTTATACCTGTGTTTATACAAGACCAAATTAGACTTAGTTAGTTTGTGATTTATATTAAGATCTTTCTTATAATATTTGTTATGTCTTAATTTTAATACTATATTATGCTTTGTCTGGAAAATAAATGTTGAAAAAAAACACTGAAAAGCATATATTTGTTTTCTACTGAAAATAATTCCAAAATAACTTGCAATCTGGCAACATCGAAGATGTGCGCATGCGTAGTGTCTGTGACTATAAGCTTGTTTCATTTAGACCACAATTTAGACGCGAATCGCGAATTGCGAAAAGCGATTCACCAAAAAATATTCGCAAAATTTGGACCTATTTCATACAGTCGCGAATTTTTAGGGACATTTCATTTTTGCTCCACTGAAAGTTACTAAAAAAAATCATAACCTGAGATAACTTAATTTGTTTTTATTCATGTTTACGATCTTTATTTTATATTTTATAGCATACAATATGAGTTTAAATTTGTTTAATGATTATGAATATTGGGTAAAGGTGTGGATCCGGTGGCTGACCTTGAAGGCCATATTTGCTGCATTTGATCATCGATACTACGCAAGCGCACATCGTCGATGTTGCCAAATTGCAGTTTATTTTCGAATTATTTGCAGTTGAATTTTTTCTTTGAGTGTTAATCAATAATAATACAAATTCTATAATTAATTTTATAATTTCAGATTTATCTTGATATCCAAAATTAAGGTAAGAAGGATAATGAAGATTGTGAAATGAAAGTATTATGAATATATAAAATTGTACGTAATAATAACAGAGATATGGAAGTGGTTGAATAATAATAACATTTATTTATATATTTCCATTAGAATTAAAAATTATCATTTACGTATTTTTTCTTAATGGTTTTAAACTTATTAGAATTATTTTAGTTCTTTCAAGTTATTTAATTTCTAGTTATTTACAGGCAACAATAGTTTTCATTATATGTATATTGATGTTTTGAAATATTACCATGACGAGTCTTATAGAACAATACACGTCAATGGGAGATAGAGGTAACATATTTTACCTATAATGTTACTAATATAATTTCTTAAAATTATCAAGTTAGTGGATTAATAGCAATTTTAGACATATATTTTATCGAAGAGTGTTGATAAGACTAAAATAAGCTTTATATTTTATATTTTTCTCTTTAGAAGGGAGATGGTTTGTGTCGTAGAATATATTACAGTATTTAATATCGTGTACTTTGATATTCTTTTCTTAATTTACTGCAATTTCTTGTTTCTTATAATGCCAAATCTTGACAATATGGTGAAGGTTGAATTTTGATCTTATTAGTTTTATACCTGTGTTTATAAAAGACCAAATTAAGACTTAGTTTGTGATTTATATTAAGATCTTTCTTATAATATTTATTATGTCTTAATCTTAATACTATATTATGCTTTGTCTGGAAAATAAATTCTATTCCATCCTTCCATTAGGAAAAATATGGTTTATAAATCATATTATAGCTAAGAAAATCACATAAATTAGGTGTAAGAATAGAGAAATCTTAAAGTAGCAAATTAAAAAAAAGGAAAAACTTGGACATATAATTTCCCGAATTTTTAATAAAGCCCTTTTTAAACGTAGCTAAATAATCTAGAGCAATTAGATTAATTATAGCAATCTAGAGTTTTATTTCTATTTAATTGTATTGACTATAAATACTTAATAAGCGTTCACGTGTTATGCGAAATATTAAAATAATAATATAAATCCTTGATATAAATAATATACCGCGTACTATGAACTATGATGAAAAATAGATGATGAAATGATGACATTTTATGATGAAATAGCGTCAGCGATGACTATGAAATGAAGATCGCTGTTATTTTATATGGGAAATGTCCTCAATCGTCATTTCCCAGCTAACTGGACGCCGTTTTTTCGATCATGCGGTATATATTGACAAAAAACACTGAAAAGCACATATTTGTTTTCTACTGAAAATAATTCCAAAATAACTTACAATCTGGCAACATCGAAGATGTGCGCATGCGTAATGTCTGTGCCTATATGCAGCAGAAACTCGTTTCAAGGTCAGCCACCGGATCCACACCATTACCGAATATTGATTACGATTGTGGGATTGGAACAGAAGGGTCAAAATTGCCATTTACTTATTGTTAAAACGTAGAATAGAACGGGTTTATAGGTCATTTGGGGCATGTGAAATATTTAAATTTCGTAAGCAACAAGGTGCTTATCGCAATTTAATTTAAGAAGTGAGGTCAAAAGATGAGAAAAAATTTAGGAATTTTCACAGATTGAGTCTACTGACTATGATGTGTTTATGTTTTTCACAGATTGTCTGTATAGGAGTTTGATAACTTGGTTGAAAAATTGTCACCATATTATATCAAAAACATATACACGAGAACCCATTTCACCTGGAGAAATGCTTTCAGTTACTTTGTACTTTGGTACTTTGTGGCAGCGTCGTCAAAATAATCGATAATCGGATCACAACACCATTCTGCGCAAACGCGAACCTTAAAATCGCGCGAATATTCGCAAAAAGTTGAAAACACTTTAACTTTCCCGCCCCCCAAATTTTAAATCTTGTGAATCGCCGAAATCTTAAAATTTCTGACAGCGCTGCATGATCATTAAAATTGGACCAATGAGAGCAGTTTCGCAAAATCGCAATTCGCGATTCGCGTCTATATGAAACAAGCTATATGCAGCAAAAACTCGTTTCAAGGTCAGCCACCTGATCCACACCATTATCCAGGTAAATTACCTCTTAATTAACTATACTTTCAAACCCAGTCCATAACCAGACCTGGGTAAGCTGGGTTCGAAAAAGTAAGCTTGTGCCTTGCTTGTGCTTACCAGGGTTCGGAAGTAGTTAACTAAGACGTAATTTACCTGATTAACTACGTGTAGTTTTTCTTCAAAAACTACGTCTTTTCCCATTCATTAACTACATGAAAACTACGTTAATAAACTATGTATTGATATTATGAATATTTTTCCTTTGTATCAGGTGTAATAGAGATAATATGATGTAAATATTATATTTAAAGCCATATTTCTTCTTTTTTTCTTAAATACATTATGTGTTTTTAAAGCTTCAACTTATTATAACCTCACCTCAAACCTTTGATATTTGAAAGCTACATACATAGGTTACATAAACTACACCCTCTACATAAACTACATTAACTACATGTGATGTAGTTTATGTAGTTTTTAAAAGTAACATGTAGTTTTCCGAACCCTGGTGCTTACTAAGCAGGGCTATAATTTCATCCACAACGCACGGATACAAGACTGGCTCCAACTACTGCCCGCAAGATTTTAAAAAGAAGATTTTGACAACCATCTGATTTCTCTAACCTCGTTTTTTTTAAATTCTATTTATTTCAATTTATTTTGATTTCCTATTTCTTTTATAATTTGTTTACATGGACAGAACATTTTAATTTATAGTGTGTTCTCGGATGCAGTATTAATTTAAAAATATATTAGAAATTGTCTCTGAAGTATCTCAAGTATAATGTTATGTCCTTACAGTGATACTAGTGATTCAGACTCAGAAAATGATCACAATGGTATTAAAATACTTTTATTTAGTGGCAGACTAGCTGAATGTTACATTTATTTTATAAAATGGGTAAAATTTTTTTATATATAGATTAATATTGTTTATAATTTATAGAAAGCCCTTCAAATGGAATATCATTAACAGATGGATCTACTTCACCATTAAAAGCTGATAATGCCAGAAGGTCCAGGGAATCATCAGCTAGTTTAGGTATTTTCTTTATTATGCTCATACATAACATGTTTATAATGTTTTTATATACAGGTAGCGAGACGAGATCTAGAGGCAGAGGTAGAAGAACAAATAACGTTTCACCTACCACGCCGGAGTCAACTACAGACAGGGTTTTTATATGGGATCTGGATGAAACTATTATTATTTTTCACAGTTTGTTAACTGGTAGTTATGCCACAAAATACCATAAAGTAAGTTGTCTATTTATACTTCAAAAAAGCAATAATTTTTATTAATTTTCTGATTCTTAGGATGCTCAAAATGTTGTACAGCTAGGTTTTAAAATGGAAGAAATGGTCTTTAACCTAGCTGATACACACTTTTTCTTTAATGATATAGAGGTGAGTTAAATTATATTTTGCAATATTTAGTGTTTAAAATTTGATTTTTATTTAGGAATGTGATCAAGTTCATATTGATGATGTGTCTTCTGATGACAATGGACAAGACTTAACAAACTATAACTTTAGTACAGATGGTTTTCATGCAGCGTCCGCAACGGGCAGTGGCAATTTATGTTTAGCAGCTGGTGTCAGAGGAGGAGTGGACTGGACTAGAAAACTAGCCTTCCGATATCGAAAAATAAAAGAAACATACAACAACTACAGAAATAGGTCTGTATTAATTTTGTTTTAAACAAATATAGATTACTTACTAGGTTATTTGTAGTGTGGGAGGTCTTCTGGGATCAAATAAAAGGGAACAGTGGCTTCAACTGAGACAGGAAATTGAAGCTGTGACAGATAACTGGCTCACTTTAGCAAATAAATGTTTAACTTTAATTAATTCAAGAAGTAATTGTGTAAATGTGTTAGTTACTACTACCCAGCTCATTCCAGCATTAGCAAAAGTATTATTATTTGGTTTAGGAAATGTTTTTCCCATAGATAACATCTATTCTGCAACAAAAATAGGTTAGTCATATATATATATTTGTTTTTTATATCTACCTAGTATTGTATTTTAATCGTTTTATGCAGGAAAAGAAAGTTGTTTTGAAAGAATCATCACTCGTTTCGGTAGAAAATGTACCTACGTGGTTATTGGTGATGGACAGGATGAAGAGGCAGCTGCAAAGACTTTAAACTTTCCTTTTTGGAGAATAACAAGCCACAGTGAGATAGCGGCATTATACAATGCTCTAGACATGGACTTTTTATGATGTGTTTATTCTTTTAAGTTATACCCATGTAAAAAATGTACAATTACTTGTATAGATTATATATAGCAAGATTCTGTGAACAATCTCAAAAAAAGTATTGTTTTAAGATGTTTACTTGTATATTTGAAGTTATTTTAATAAAGAAAAGTATTAGTCTTTTATGTTAGGACATCATTTTATAGCAGCAAAGTATTCACAAATAACAACTTCTTTTGATTTCAGAAATTAACATATTTTAGTCAAACCATGTATGAAGGTTAAGGAGAAAAACTGACTTGATTGATTTAATACTGTCAAATATCATGTTAAAGATCCAAAAATATATTACTGTATGCAATACCTATTATTTGGACATCGTTTGTTATATGCAATTACCATTTAACATGTGATTGGGACTGGACATTCTCAGCAAATTGAGTTGATTACTAAAACTCCCATAAAATCGATATCGGTGACTTTTCCCCTTACCCTTTATATTTTTCCTGTGTAAGAAACACAAAAACAAAACACAAAGTTTGGTTTCTTTGTAAATTTTTAATTTCTTTTCAGTGCACATTCACAGTTTTTGATAGTTATTTAAAAATGTTCTATTTTTACTTTGAACAGCAAATACTAAGTCACACTAATGTATTAGAAGAATATTTTTAATGAAGGTAATGTTGAACTTTTGATACATTAGGAAAAGAAAAGATATAGAATTATATTAAGTTGAAACAAAAAAAGGCAATGTACCAAAAAAATAAGTTTTTATAATTTTAGGTATTTTTTATTAATAAAAAAAGCAACAATAATGTTTAAAAGGAACAATGTATACCAAACAATAAATTTATTGTATATATAGAACTATTTGTTTTAATCTGATTTAGTTTAACAAAATATAATCAAAATTAAAAAAATTTAACACCTTCGTCGCTATCAGACAAGATCAACTCACATTTTCTGTCTTTTTCTAATATTTGTAATGCTTTAACTAGAACTTCATGTTGAATCCCATAAAATTCCTCATTCTGTACATCTTCACCTTGCGATAACTCATATAAAGTTAAGACACTGTTCTGAAGGCCTCGAGATGAAATACAATCATATATCATGTTAGCCCATTCATCCAAAGTATGCCAATAAATTTCCCAACGTTGTTTGCTCTAAAATTCATGTTTCTCTATAACGCCAGTTTTATAAATATTAGTCTTACCTTATCAACTGGTGCGGCATGGCCAGTTCTTTGCAATTCAGATAAAATAGAAATAATAACAGATTGATCTAATTTCCGATTTATGTTGCTATTATTGAACAAGGCGATATGGCTAGATTCTCGAACATCAATAATATACAACTTGCCTTTCTTGCAGTAATCTAAAATAAGATTTTTCCATGCTTGAAATTGTTTAGCCCTGGTTTCTGGGTTCAGTTGCAAGGTAAAAAATGGTGGAAAATTATATTGCCAGGGCCACTCTATATTTGTTTCAACCATTTCTTCAAAATTAATAACTTTAATGCCCCTTAAAAGCTTTAAATAACAGTATTCTCCTTGGTATTCAAACCATAACAAAAGAAAACTCACAAAACACAAATCAATGACTGATTCAACGACACAAATAGAAAACTAACCACAAAAAATGAATCACAAAACCATAGACTAATTTACAAAACCATGAAACCATAAAATAAGAATAAAGTAGCTATGAACTATGGAGGGCTTAAAAAAGGAGATTTATCGGCAATGGGCAAATTTGAAATTTCTGTCCCCACTTTTAAGCAGCTTCCTCGGTTTGACAGCAGAGGCACTGCGATCGACTGGGATACTACATTTTCATTGTTAGTATACGATTTAATTGTGTTTTTAATAAAAATTTTTTTTTATAGTTAAATTTAACTGAATTTTAGCATGTACAACAACAATGAGTCGTGGTAGAAATTGCTTTGTACCTGGCTGTACAAGTGGGAATCCAAATAAAAACAAGGCAAATAAAGAACGGGGTGAAAGAAACCCAAGCCTTTTTCGAAAGCTCTCTAATGTAATGTAAGTAATGACTATTTATTTATAAAAAATATGATGTAGAAAAACAATTAAAATTAATATACATTTTTTTTTTTTTTTTATTTTATTAATTATAAACCAAATAATAGGAAAATAAGCCAAATCAACATGTTGTATATACCATAACCCTAGGAGGCCCTTGGTTATAATTAAAAATAATTTAATAACATAATAGGTGAAAATTACCTGTTGACATGTAACTATATTAACCACAGTTTTAAGTGCATAGTTTGAAAAGTGAAATAATTAAATATACTTCTAAGAATCGTATTCTCAAAATAACAGCTTTAATAGTGAAAAATGTTTTTTTTTATTTTATTTAACAATTATAAATATTCTTTTATTAGGGGAGTCCCTAGCTTGCTACAGCAGTGGCAAAATGCGATACCCAGATCAGACAAGACACTTATCAGCAAAGATGCTGTTTGTGAACTACATTTTCTAGATGAAGATATTTTGACTCGTTATGAGATCAAATTAACTGACTGAACTATCAGTAGAATTGAGCGGGGGAGACCATTATTAAAGGAGGTTTCAATTCCAAGAATTTTTCCTAACCTGCCTTCATATTTATCCAATTATAAAAGAAAGAGGAAACCACAATGTGTAAGGAGTGAAGCAACTGAAAACGTTCCCTAATTCAAAAAAGTAAAGGTCTGCCTATTAACATGTTGAGAAAATCAAACTTCAGAACCTAACTTTGAGAATGAGAATGAAATTGCCTCGTCGAATATACTAATGTGCCAGTTTGATGTACAGACAGTAGAGTTAGCTATGTTCACAAATTGAAAATAGTTTTGCATATGTCAGATTGTAAATTTATTATAAAAATTATTTAGTTTTTGACTAGCCGTCGCCAAGACCGCTTGTCATTGAGGAAATAATAAGGATAATTTGAAAATTATTTGTAGTTGGGTTTGGTTGATACTCTTTGATGTGTATATAAATCCAGTTTAGAATAGTTTTTTAATGAAATCATGAAATAAGCTCTTTTAATTAATATGTAGGTATATTGTAGCTAGTATTTTTTTAGAATGCATTTTTTTTAATTGTAGATTTTGTTTGTGTTCTTGATATAAATATGATGTCCTGTTTATTTTTTGGCATAGTACATATAGATATTTAATATCTAAGTGCTAAATTGTATATTAAATTTATATATGTATATTTTATTTATTAAATTAGTGGAATTAGGTTAATAGAAAACAAAAGTTGTAATGTATTTAATAATTGCTAAAATAAATATTGATATGATAAATAAGTCACAGCACGTATATACATAGCTCACAACTCTGTATTTTGTGCTTTTGAAATAAACTGAGTAACAATTATTTATTTCATTAATAATATTATTTACAAACCTTACTATATTAAATAAATGTGAATATACAATAGAAAAACCTTTACAATTATTAGGTGGACATTGAATATAATGATATCTTGCATATGTAATTGTCCTACGAAAACAGTGACAATTTTGCAAACTTTGCTAATGACATTAACACTTACAATTCAACGCTAGAAAAAACGCTATTGGACACAGGAAACGTTTCAGCTCAATATACCTACTCTCTAGTTTCAGCTATAAAAGTTATGGAATAGATAACACCGATCAAAGGGTGCAATGTTAACGTTCGTCTTCAGTTTCCATTTATGATTAAGTTATTCATGATAAAATACTCTTATAATTTTCAGTTATCAATCTGTCCAATCGCCATAAAAAACACTACTCAGTTCGAAAGATTTAATGTTATTAAAATGTACCACTAAACTGCATGTAAACATGTCAAGTCTCAAATGTTTTAATTGAAATAAAAAAAAAAAAAAAAAAAAAAAAAAAACTATTTAATAAAACACTAAAACAATCACACCATAAACTATTTCATTCGCATTTCTCATCAAGGAACAATTACTGTTTACATCAAATCTAAGGTTGAACTGGTGATAAATTTGTTGCTGGAACTTCTATCTTTTTTGTACAACAGTTCTAGGGAAGATTTATTTTTGCAGCTTATAGTTTCTTCGTCGTGTATGCACGTAAAAAGAACCACATATAAAAACAATTTTTTTAAATATTAATTTTTTTTTTATGTTTTAGTTTTACCTTTTCTAATATAACCTAAACTAAACTTTTCAACTCAAATTTAAGGTTTTGTATTCACGATTTTAGCCACGCACATTGCTCAGTTAGAAAAACCACGTTTCTAAAAGCTAACTCTGGTAAAAATATGCCAAAATATTAACTTGGCTCTATAATTTATAACAAAGATAGTTATTCTGCCAAATACAGCAAGCTGTGTATTTCTAGTATCCCAATCATCACAAGCGCCCCTAACGGCGATTTTCGAACTTCATTTAGATCTCAAAAACTGGGCCCATAATTTTTGCGTTCGATTCGCCTCCTCCTTTTAGACTCCATAGTCCTAATTCTTCCCTATTTTAGGTCTTTTTTTATTAGTGGCAATTGAACAATACGGATATTTTTTTTGTATGGCGTATGACGTCACAGGTGGTATGCGCAAACTTAACGAAATTGGAGCCGCTATCGATCATACCTTGTTTTCTTTGTACCATGGTTGGGTATTGTGCAATCACGTGATGCTCATGTCGTATGACGGTTAAATCTTTGGTTAGAATTTTTGTTGTTGTTTTTTATTTTTTTTTTTTTTTTTTTTTTTTTTTTTTTTTTTTTTTTTTTTTTTCTATTTACATCAGATTTATTTTGGTATTGCCTATCAGACTATATTTAGAATATAAGAATAAAGGATCCGTGTTTTTTTTAAAACTGGAATTATTTAAAGGTGAACTTGAATAACAATTAACCTGCTTTCTGATACTAAAAAGTGCCATTTTGAAGTTATTTACTTGGGGCTTAGGATATTAAAATATCCCGGTTGGATTGTACGACATAAATAGATGTAGGTATGATTATTTATAATATATGTATGATTTATAAAGCTTACCCTATCCTTGTTTTGCCATTTTTCAGTTTTGGTAAACCATTTGATTTATGTGGAAATGCCCACCAAAAAAACTTCCCAATGGATTCAACATCAGGTGTGTTTTGGCTACATAAGATCATTCCTGACTGAATTTTAGGGATCATTTAAAGTAACTACACAGAAAAAACCAGATAAATACATTTCCATAAGGAAAAGTACATCGGGAGGGACAATTTATAGCGATTTAAACACAGCGATCAAAGAAACAAAAAAAGCCTTACCAAGAATACACAACCCTACAGTCAGAAAAACCAGATAGCACCGAATTCATTTCTCGTCTAACAGTAAAATTAACAAAGCTGGGTTTTTCCGTGTGGTCCTTCATTTGAAATAAAAACGTAAACTAAATGTTTTTTTTTTTTTTTTTTTTTTTTTTTTTTTAAAGGCAAATAAAAATGTCTTTCGATATTAATATTTTCTTTCGATATTAATATATACTTATAAAAAAAAACAAAAAAAATGTATTATTATTTTGAAATAATACACTTATTTAAATAAAAAAAAAAAAAAAAAAAAAAACAATTATAAATTTTAATTTAAAAACTTTGAAATGCATAGTGGCACTTAAATCCTTAGATTAACGAATAATGGGATGATAATAACGGGTTGTAATCACGCATTAAACCAGAGACTAACTTATATAAGTCAAAAAGTAGATTTTAGTGTAAACTATTAATGTAAGTAAATAATAAATAAAATATTCGGAAAAAACCAACATCCTGAATTATATATTAAAATCAAGTAAAATAATAGGTATCTGTTCTCACTTTAACGTAGATAATATTCTCCCAACTCAAATATGGTATCATAGTTTCAAATAGTATTAGGCCTAATCATATCCTGAAATGTTTTGACACTTAGTTTACCATATTCTACATTAATTTTTTTTTTTTTTTTTTAAATTTTTTAAGAATCTAAAACATTAAAGCAAATTAACATCGAGACTGTATTACTCATCCAAGGCATATTAAGATGGATATATTAAATTACTCCAACTTTCCTCAGACATTTGGGGTTACCATTATTCTAAAAACTCTACATATAAAAAAATACGACGGCTCTCTTTCTATAATAACATTACCCTTGAATATACATTTTCACAAATAATTTCCATTGGTATACTTCTCCATGACCAATATAAAGGTTCTAACCATTTTTTTAAGTTGATCCGATAATACCTTTACCTTCACACGAAAATTTAGGGCACACAAAGGACAATGATAATGCTTACTTCAGATGGGTACTTTTTTCCATAGAATATCCTCATGTCATCTCAAAAGGGACGAAACATGAAAAGATCATGCACAATGCAAACACTCACAAACAAAACCTAATAAACAAGTTAATATGGAATATAGAAATAAATTAGTGTCTTCACCTATGTCCGTCAAACCAAATCCACGTGAGTAAGATAATTAATTTTTTTAAAAAAAAAAAAATTGTTATTTAAAATATATCGATTTTTTTTTTTTTTTTTTTTTATATTATTTAAATTAACGGGAACTAACATAAACACAATGTCAAATTCCTTGGGCAATGTCACTTCCCAAGCGTACCGAACATCATCGAAACGGACGAATCTCACACGTTCTCCCTTTAATGCTTGGACGGTTCATGACAGTGGTTGCGATTATGGTCTCTACCATACTGAACCCATAACTGACCCTCCTACTTTTTCTTTGGTAATTCATTATTGTTTTGCCTTTATGTTCATAGTATTAGACTACCTCCATAAAAAGTATATGTCAACATGGACTTGAATAAATTATCACACAAACTTGCGAATGGCCGGGCACAATGACT